TGCATTAACGTTATTATTTATCATTTTAAACCAACTCAAAAGCATTGTAAAATAATAATTGGGTTTTCAGCATTCTTCCGTACCACAGTCTGCCAAAACCACAAATCCACAGGACCAGCCGCAAAGTGAGGTACGTACCTAGTTGCCGGAAGACACCTACCACTGGGTACAGGACAGGACTATGTACTGTTATCGTTCAGGCCACACCTTTCTCTTTTCATCTTATTCCACTCTTTGGACAACTTTCATCGCTTATTTTTTTTTTATCACAAGCTTCATAGGCCGTGCTCTTCAACCAGCCAATTGAAATAGTCTTTCGTTGATCCTTTCTTTCTTTCTGTTATACATCCGATACTCCATCCATTCCACGCCCTTTTTCCTTTGCGCGATTTTGTGGAGAGGCCAGCCTTACGCTCGTGATTCCCTACATGTGCTCAGCCTTAGACTGGTCTCGAAGTGATTGATGATCGAAGCGACTGTTCCAGTCCCCGCCTGATAGACGACGTTTCACGCGGCTTGGCAACAACACTCTTCTTCTGGGGAGAGAAAACAAGGCTCTTCGTATTCTTCACAACCCGGTCCTTTCGTTCACTTTGTCGACCTGTCTCTCCTCCCCTTCATCCAGATCGACGCTCGACCGAAGGCTTGCTGGGGCTTGCCTGTCTGTATAGACAAACCCTCGGTATTTTCCGTGACCAAAACTCCGAACGTGACCTCCTGATTCTGCCAACGTCTTGTCGAACGGTCAGGTCAACAAACCGGCAAAGGCCTCCACTACGTCTTTCTATCCTCTCCCTTGACCCTCTTTATTCGTACGATCAACAGTCTCAGGCAGCATCCACGCCGCCGCTAGGTGGTTGAACCGTCATATTGTATCCTGCGACCGAAACTCCGGCGGACTCGAGCTCCGTCACGGAGCACTTCGTCAAAATTTACGCACACAATTCGCGAACCTCCCTTTTCGGGGGGTCATTCGATCCCTCGTTTAGAAGAGGTCCTGGAGGCTTCCGTTCACGAGAAGGCTACACGAACGTAACGCCAAAACCCCCCAAGCGCAAAATGTATATTCCAAATTCGATGTGGACGTGGTCCTTTGTCATCGTCACTTTCATCCAGACTGTCATAACTCTAGCACTAGAATGGTATGTGGGACTGGATGCCTATAAATCTCCAATACGCTGTTAATGCTAACATATGGTGGTCTAGTTACATTTTCGCCAACTACCAGAGCCAGCTTAAAAAGAAAGCCGAGGCTGTCACCGCTTCAAAAACGATCCCTATTTTCTTAGCGCTCTACAGCTTTGGATTCCTATATGAGCTGGTGCTTGTATACGATGCCTTGCGGATGAAAAACACGATTCAGGTCATTGGTTTATGTCTTTGCAACATCGGACTCTTGATCTACGGGGCAGTGCAGGTTCAGCAGGTGAGGGAGGCTGTCTCTATTCTGACCGACAATACAGCTATCAATGAAAACGTATGGGGAGAAACCGAGCCTTTTTTGATCATCATTCCATGCGTCGTGGCAATGGGTACGATTCTCATGATGATGGTTGCATGGAAACTTTATGATGAATTTGCGTGGTCGATCTACAAGCATATCAGTGCTGATCTGCGAATGAAGCGTCGCTTTCTCACATACCAGGTTTGTGACTCCTACTCACAGAATGAAGATCAAGAAACACGAGGATTTACCAATGGCCAGATCTACGTCACACTTCTCAAATTTGATTTTTTCTTCTTCCTCGGGTTCACGGTGCAGTTCGTCGTTATCGTCACCGATAAAGCCGACATTGAATTCTCTCTGACGCTAGCTGCTATACCTGTGACGATCTTGATTCTGGTTTGCGCGGCGATATTTGTTCGACGTGAGAGCTCGGTCGGAATGATCATCATCATCGTATGCTTCCTGCTTCTGCAACCTATATTGCTGTTTCTGACCATAAGTCTAGCTTCTTTACTTTGCAGCTATGGCCTATTTCCTATTCAAGCTTGTGCGCATGTACCAACCAGAGACTTACAAGGACTACCTGCCTGCCCGGCGGTCACTCACGTTCTTTGCTGTCATCACGATTGTTCTCATCATCATGACTATCATCAACGCTTGCATGTGCATGCACAATTTTCACAAGGGACTGAAGCCCCATATCAACAAGAGAAAGTCGAGCAAGGAGGCGGAGAAGACCACCGAGCTGTCCTCAAATGTGGCTGGCGCGATACCCAGTCGAATGATGATTGATTGAGCGTTGCTGTCTTGCTCCTCACGAACGAATTCAATTGAATTCGAAAAGCAACGGAGGACTGAAAAGAAACGAAAATGCAAATAAGCAGCTTTTCGCTTCTTCATTCCGTATATTAGAAACGGAAACCGCGAGTGCGCGGTGGTACTCGATCAATACCTCGCTTGCAGGCTGTTGGGTACTGACAATGGGGCATGTTTTTGGAATCTTCGATATGATACCTTACCTGCGATTATTAGGCTGCCTGACGAATATTTCGACCTCCTGAAGTTTGGTTGAGCGTTTTTTATTCGGTCGTATTCAGTCACTTCCCGTTTCGTCCCTTACTCTACTTCCTATTCCTTGATGGCACAATGGCGTTCATTTGACGACTGTTTCTATTCCCCTTCAGGTTCTGGTATATCACGAATGTGCATCTACTCTGGCGTGTATTGTAACTATTCTAAACTCAAATATAACATAATCAGCATATAACAAATATTTTGAAGTGTTAAAATGAATCCTAGCTAGCTTTGATAGATTCTCAGCTCTGGCTCGCCATGAGTGATGATCAGAGCGCTACTACAGATTGGCTTCATTCGAATGGCGACAGCTCTTCTTAAATCAATGAAAGCTACAGATTACTACTGGAATCTATGGAGTACCTAGCCACCTCTCATTCATTGATGTTGATTGCCAAAGTCTGAGCTTTATCAGTTCAGGGGTCAGAAAGTGGAGGGCGGATATGATTGGGTCACATGAAGCTGGGGTAAGTCAAAGGTAAGGCATGTAACCATACGTTACCATACCCGACTGGCTGGAAATCGTGATCGTGGCCTCTTTCTGGCAACTCGCGACCTCACCTCACATACCCTCTGCCAGCTAATCCATCTCACAATTCGATTTTCTTCTTTCGCCTGTCATCACAATTTTTTTTTACTTCTTCTATTAGTCTTTGTTTTATTTGCAGTCTAATTTTGTCGTCGCCTTCATTGATTTTCCTCTCCTCCTCTTTCCTCATTCAATTGCTCAAAATGGTGAGAACCTCTTTCGCTCGTCGTCCCTTGAGAAGTAGCGCTATGTGCTCTGCGGACGGAAGCTTCAATTGCTCATTTACAAACGGCCCTCTGCATTGAATCGAAGGTTGACCATAGTTGTGCATCTGTTTTAGGCCTCTGCTCGTGCTGCTTCTCCCTTGACCTCCGGTGCTGAGTCCGGCCCTGACACCAAGTCTTCTGGCGCCGGTGCTGGGGCTTCCGCCACTGGCTCCGTGAACCGTCCTTCTTCTCCTACTCCTCCCGGTGGTCCCAGAGCTGCTTTGCGTCGCCGCGCGGCCGCGGACCACAAGGAATCTCTCCGCAATGCTAGGCCCAGTTCTACCCGTGCCGCTGGTGCGGGTGGTTCCTCCGGCACTATGCTCAAGCTCTACACCGACGAGAGCCCTGGTCTGAGGGTTGACCCTGTTGTCGTTCTGGTGCTCAGCTTGGGCTTCATTTTCTCCGTTGTCGGTCTTCACGGTATGTGTGGTGTACGTTCATGGAAGCTCAGCCAATGCTCTAATACTTGTTGCTATTGCAGTCATCGCCAAGATCACGCGCAAGTTCTCCTCGTGAGCTGCTGAAATGCGTCATTTCGTCTAGTCCTCGCGATCATGGCTTCTTTGGTCAAATCCGTACATGAATGGAGTCGCCGGATGAGACGGTGGTTAATATGCACCGTCCTCTTCCTGTCAGACGTTAAGAACATTGAGAACTTGAAAGAGAGGATGATAGGCGTGGTCGTATATTCAGTTCCTTCGATGTTTTCCCTTCAATCATATACCCCTTGGTGTCACTTTTCCCTGTACCGGTGCATATCGAAGATTCGAGTGCGGCATGATCCGAAAACAGCATGCCTCCTCGCACAAGCCAGTTGAGAGTGCTGAGTTCAAACCTATCTGCAGCATAGGTTAATGCTACTATGATATTGCCCTTGGAATCCACAATGACCTCATAAGCGTTTTGACGGAGAGCTCAGAGAAAATGAATGGAAACATTTGTACATTATTTTATGCTTTCTAGCTGGTGGTGCTTGCATTTCAGTCAATTATCATGATCCTGCTAAGCACCTTTTCCTATCATTATGGCGTGGACTTGTCGACAGGTAGCGCCACATTGGTGTAGCATTGGGACAGCTACCAGGCTTTCGCCGTCAATTTACCTTGAGTCCCGATTGACCGGAAATGACCATAAAAAATGTGAAATTGAAAAAAGCTCGCCATTCCTCAAAGATGCAGTAGTCGTACAACTTGTTGTTAAGATAAGAAAGAGCGAGCAAAAATAGCTAAAAAAGATTATGAGCTCCGATACGGGGAGTCGAACCCCGAGCTGCCGTGTGAAAGACGGCGATGTTAGCCGTTACACCATATCGGATGATGTTGACAATCTTGCGTCGTCTAAATTTATCAGCTCTCCGTATTCCTGAGAGCCTCAGTTAATGCTCGCTGCATACTCTTTTCGGACGGATATCAGGATGGAGTTTATCAACATGAGAAAAGCCAATATCCACAACCAATAGAGGCATACACATTTCACGCCAACCTTTCCCTCGCTTTCTCCAACCTACTAGGGTCTCCCACCTCGGTCATGAACCGATTAGTAATCCAACGCTGTCTACCCCACCAGGCAGGCGGTGAGTCACCAAATCCCACCACCATAAAACCAGCACAATAAATTTCCCTCTCTCTTCCCTCTCTTCTTTTTCCCCCTCAAGCGCCACCCCAACCAATGCTGCGTTTCTTTGCTACACACGACGAGGCGCAAGCCCCGTCCCCTCGCGTGATCCCAGCATCACCGAGGGCCCCGCAAATGAGAAATTCGGAGGAATCTTCACCTTACCCAGTAACCCGCCCTCTGTGCCTCGCGGTCCAGGGGGCCGGTACTGCCCGTGAGGGCCTGGTGTGAAGCACCTGCAATCGGCATCAGAAACATCGGGGCCGGATCCTACTCTGTAGGATCCGGGTTTCCCCATGGGAGAGTCGTTGCGAAGATTGTGTGTTATGACACTTTAGTGCAATACGCAGCATGCGCCGTCTCCTTTCCGGCCAGAAATGGTTGGTTTGGGGGGGCGTATCATTCGATTCCGATTATTCTGGTTGGGGTGGCGCTTCATCTCTTTCTTTCAGGTCGGTTTGTACTTATTTATTCCCTTCCTGTTCGTGTGGTTTGGGACTGGAAAGGACTTGTTTTGCCCCTGCTAATGAGTTGGGGGTTGGCCCTTTGGGCTTGATAGGGTTGCTGTCGTGTCATGTACGGGGTAGGCGTAATCTGGACGCTGTTGGTACCCTTGGAGATTGTGCTAGTAGCATGGTGGAAATGTGGCCTACTCCTGTATTATGTGGTCTACTGCGGAATGAGAATGGATTTTGGTCACTCCAAATTGTACACACGACTTTGTAGTCACTGAACTGAAAGTAGTCGTGCTCAGGTAGCCCAGTGGCTACTCGATGGTCATAGTAGCTGGACCTCTCAAGGCATTCGCAAGTCCTTCAATACATACTTGAATTCTGGATCGCCGACCCTCGAGGTGAATTATCGAATGTGATTTCCGTAGTTGTCCTATCCGGCTAATGTTCATGGGATATTTTGAATACCAGGAAAATAGAAAGAAATGTTCGTTGCCACCGTTATGCTCCCTCTTCATGTCATAGTAACACCCCCTTCGCCTTCCCGCCTCATTCGCTTGAACCTCTTACTCCTCGTCTCCGATCTATTCGGGGTGAAAGTTAGCATCAAGGCATCTGAATCGATGGGTAAGGAAGATCATACCTTAGGAGCGAGATAGAATCTCAGGTGGCCGCTTCCCAGCCCGTACTCGACAAGTAGAGGCACCTCCTGTGATAGACAGAGCATAACCTGGCTCGACAGCGACGTAGCCTTGCAGAAGTTGACGAGGTACTTAAGGGAAAAAGTGAGAGCAACAGGCTCGCTAAGGGCAATGGAAACGTTCTGCTCGGGCTTGTCGACGCTGGTGTGTTGACGGATGGTAACCGAGCCACTGCCGATGTCGCCCTGGCATGAGAACTTGACACCTTCCTTTGTAGCCTCAATGACGACTACCACAGGTCAGTAAGAAAATTGTCAATGACAGGATCCCATAACGCACCAGACTCAGAAAGCGCATTCAAATCTCTGCAGATCCGCTGGAATTCTGCCGACGGCATCTCCACCGTGGCGGCATACTCTGTCTCTGGGATGGCCAGGTGCTCTTGGTCAATGTCCATCAACTTGATATCATACTCGCTTATTCGGTCGGTCTCGGCGCTCTCAAACATGAGGTTCACGGCATCAGGCGAGTCGTCCGCCTTGAGTGTGAGGATGTCTTCGTTCTGAGCGGCACGCAGAACCTTGGTCAAGGAAACCAAGTTGATACCAAGGGCAATGTTGCGGTCGCACCGGTAGGGCGAAAATCCCTCGGCCTTGAGAAGCATGGAAACTAGAGCGACGTGAGAGTTGTCCATGGCTTGAAGGGCGATTCCCGAGTCATTGCAGTCAAAGTTGCAGTCCTGTACGAGATCTTTGATAGCGTCGACGACCTGGACGAAGCGTGAATCAGGTCAGTCATGAAGCCGAGCGGCAAACGCGGAATTGAGGGCTCACGTACGCGCTTGAGAAGGCTTGCTTGTTCTAGTCGTGCTTCCAACACTGGGATGACGGTCAGAGGATATTCATTGAAACAATTGGACAAGAACTGCCTACTCTTGAATATGTGTGGAGGTCGAAATCAAAGGATATAGATAAAACGTGATGATGTGAAAGTGAAGTGAGGTGTCGAATGACAATGATTCTGAAGCAAAATTGTCAGTCGTTAGCTGTTGTAGTGCGAGAAATTGAAGAATAGGAGGACTTGCAGGTGAAACGTAGGTGTGAAGCTGGAATGGCTCTGGTTAGAGGCTGGAGAGCGAGAGTGAGGTTCTAAAGCGCTGTAAATTCGCGTTCGAGGTTTAGTGGGGAATCAGACGCGTTCACGAGTCGCGCGTCATTATGCGTGATTGGCCTTAGGCTGATATGAACAATTGTGGTTAGACTCATCCTAGCCTAAGGCAGCAGCATCGTTGCCTTGTCACTGGGGTATCAGGAAGACAATTCATTAATCTTTCTTGTATTCTGAGATTAATCTCGAACTTTATAACTATTTACAGCTCAATTTATACATAGGAAATTACTCCGCGGGTGCCAATCTCGAAGACACAATTGCCAAAGTCAAAGCCAAGGAGATAGAAGCGTTCAAAAAGCGCAAGACCAACAACCCAAGACCAGTGGTTAAGTATGCTGTACAATGGACACAGAAAAGCATTAATGTAGAGGAGGAACGTAAGAAGGAAGGAAAGCACAGAACACCGGTGACGCCATTCCGCTCTATTTGCAATGGGTATCAACCTGCAGAGTTGTTTAGTTAAAGCTCAATCTCGCTCACAGTCAGTGTAAAACATGAATGCTGAAGGATATTATATACTCGTTTGCGGAGGGAGAACATCCAGATGGAGGCAAGTCGAGAAAGAGGGAAGGGAAAAGAATGATAGAATGACAGGTGTGGGTTAGATGCTCGTGACCCTCTTTGAAGTTGTTCCTCGAGGTCTTTGCTTGATGACCATTTCGAGCTCTTTCAGCATGCTGGTATTCGCGTCCGCTCGTTCGCGTGCAGCAGCCTGTTTCGCCCGGTCTTCCTTGACACGGGCAATGCGCTCTTCCCTAGTCAGAGACGCCCTTTTATTGCGGGAAGGGAGAACTATGGATTCGAATATCTCCTCGTCGTCGTCGACACTCTGGATAATGCTCGGGTCTGGCTTGATATCGCCATTCAGAGCCCGGAGCGCATCTGCTGGGCTTCCCTCTACCGCGGTGGCACCGCCAAGGCTGGGTGTTGGGGACAATGGCAGCTTCATCCCGCTGGGCGGGCGCGACATATGATCTACCGAGGATCGCTTGTCAATGCTGCTCATCAGAGCAGTTTTGCCAGCCTCCCATTCCTGAAGAAGGCCTCTGATGTCCGTTCCAATTGATTCGTATTGGGCAAGAAGAGTTGCTTCGAGTTCTTCCGTGTCGGTAGGCTCTGATGTGGCAGTGGACAGCTCTCTGATCAGATGCATTTTCGCGTGGAGGGCGCGGATGCCTCGAGTAAGCGTATTGAGCTTTCGAAATTGAGCACGGAGATTCTCCCTGTTAGGAGAGGCCGTAGGCAGCGGCGAAGGAGGAATCACGTCACCTTAAGAAGAGAGTCAGTGACGGAGTGGATAATACTCCTACATTGAGGTGAAACTCACGGTCATCTTCATTGAGAATGCTGGCCATCTTGCGGGTATTCACTCCCGTGACTTGAGCAAGATCTCGCATCTGCTCAATAGCCGTGCTCCATCTTACGATGTCGGATCCGCCACCGTCGGCACCCAGGGCTAGGAGACAGCAAAGAATGCTCTTTCTCACGTTGTATAGCCTTCCAAAAAGGGTGCGAAGCGCGCGCAGTGAGTATTGGTCTTCTGTTTCCCGTTCAGCCAAGGCGGCCTCGGCTTCGGTAAGCTCTTCTAGTGAGACATCGTAAATGTCGTGGTACTTGGCAAGATTGTCATTGTCTGTCAGTGGTTGCAATATGTGCTGCGCCTGTAGGTAACGCTGCAACATTGAGTAAAAGCACTCGGACACGGTCCGACGCAGTCTCAGACATCTTCGTGTCTGCGCTTGATCCTCAAGTCTACTTACAGGAGGCAAGGGCGTGCTTCTAGTACTGGGGTTAGCATTCTCGGCCTTTATAGCGCTTGATCATGCAAGATCGAGTGCAACTTACATGCGATAACCCCGCGAGACCAGCTCAACCTCCTGTATGAAAACAACCGATGCCGAAGCAGCGGAATCGAATGACTGCGCATTGCTTATGAATACCACAGCCGCATCAACAGCCTGATGCCGCAGGTACTTGAGCCACTGGCGTCTGGCAAAAGCATAGAACAGAACCCCAAGCACTGGGACAAGGACCAGAAGTACACCGACTTTCCGAGGGTTGAATCCGGACCCCGTCCGAGATCGACTCCAGTGTAACAGCCAGGCGATTGAGAAGGACGTTGATGCTGTGACAACCGCACCCTGCACGCCAAAGGTTGTGGAAAGCGATGGAAGGTCAACGGGATTCGAGTTGGATAGTACGTCTGCGGCTGACGTATACGAGGGTGCACTGTGTTCATTCAACAACTGCGATGCGACGATGACGTATCCAAACTGTTCTAGGAATCTTTCATTGTCGCTTCGTCCGACGCGTGCGTTCAGGGCGGTCTATTCAAAAGATAACTTATCAGCCAGAGTTCTGGCCGCAGCTGATAGGGTAACATTGGTTGGAAACCATACTGCACAGGCATCGTAGAGTTTACCCAAGACTGCCCTCTGGCGGGAGGATTTCAGTTCCAGGGGTTTGGGTAGCTTGTTTCGGATGCGCTCTTGGAATTTTGAAGTGCCCCGCGGAGCAAAGTCTGATGCTGTTGAGTCGAAGGGATCATCCTCGCTCTTTGTTTCCTGGACCGGCCAGTCTGGATCGTGTTCACCTTCCCCTGAATGGCCAACGATATCATCATTTACTATGAACCTATGCATGGCTCTCCGCGGAGACACACCTCTCAGATATTCCGCCAACGGCGAGTTCTCATAAACCAGGGCTTCCATGACCTGCAATCATTCCGGGATGTACGTTGGTAGAGAAGAGGGATCGTGGCGGGACGAAGCGGATAGTAAGGTGGTAGTGAAGGAGTGGCGGATTTTGTGAAGTTGTATCAGCTCAACAAAGGCGAAATAAAGGTAGAGACTGGTGAGACGAGGTCGACGGAAATTATTCATCGGCCATCTCCACGGCGATCTCACGGCGAGATGTGCAATGCTTGAGGGGAGGACGTCAACGATGGCGTAGGTATTCCGTTGGCGGCAAGTGGAAAGTAAGCAGGAAGTAAGGAAGCACGCGACTTTTAGGGAGACAATCAGAGAGCAACTAGCGCATCACATGGATTGTTTATAAAATTAAGTGAAAAAGTAGATCGGTAGTAATTCATGAAAATGACTGCCCTGGTCGATATGCAAGGTACAGGAGAGTAAGAGAGGGCCACGTTGAAGATCAAGCTGGGTTCATGTGTCTGGGCCTCTCTGGGGATGGAGAGGGCTTTGGCTTCCGTCGAATCGGAGTTCTCAACCCACGAGGCCGTTTGGCTTTAACTTGCTAGTCCTGTGTAGCATAAATGCTGACCCACAAGGGATAGTCAGGGACGAGAAGTCGAATAGATAGATGATGAGGCGAACAGATGTCTATTGGGCGAGATCTATTAACGTTGTTGGAGAAAGGAGGATGCTCCAATCTGATACTACAGAAGCCCGTATGATCATTACACTCATATGACAATGCTCAAGTGACGCCAGATCCGACCGAGGTTCCACCCTTCACTCTTACTTCGAAATGTCAACCTCGGACTAAGGACTGCGGCGGAAATCCTGATGGATTTCCTGCAGGGTCTGTCTTTGGGCCCCCGGTTTCACGGTCATATTAGATCATGGCCTTTTGAAAAGGATAATTGGCTACGACGTTCCGATGAACAATGACTGCTGCTGTTCAAATCAGGCTATCAGGGAAGATTGAGCCTCTGTCAGTGCTAACCCGCAACTATCCATAATGATCAAAGTGAGGACCTTCACAGAGAGCCGGGCACTCTCGATCGTCTTGGTCTTTAGTTTCCAATCTCAACGCGTTGTCATTGTCCTATTTCGGCTGCCAAGGTAGGTCTCCAGGAACAGTCTCTACAATACACCTGTCAGTAGCAATGGACTGCGTCAGCTTACCGTCATCGGATAACATGACGGTGAATGAAAAGCTTTACCCAATGACTAGATGCAGATACATTGACGCCCCATAGTGCCTTAGGTACGGTGTGTTTACTCCGTATACTTTGCTGTCGAAGCTGGATGCTCGTATGAGCACGCAGTACCGGTTTCAAAGTGGTAAGTCCCAGCTTCCTGTATGCTTAGAGATGGTATGTGCTTTACAAGGATCAGGAACATGTCGCACTATGTTCCTCAAATATCGAAGTTGGCCTCACATGCCTCCCGACCCGCTCGAGGGACGGTTGTATAGGGTATCTTCAGCAGAGCCATCTTCCGTTATTCTCGAGGCCGGTATGTAAATTAGCCGGCTTTGAGATGCCATCAGGTCGAAAGTCAAGCAATCGGCGAGAGCTCGGTCCCAATGAAGCTCACAATCTGCTAGGCGCCTCACACAATTGCCTGCAAAAGCCAACTGCCTCAAGACGCTGGTCCTAAGCGAGCAGTAACCCAACCATTGCAACCACGGTAACTTTGACCCAGCAAGCCTGCAGCTTTCTGGACACGCATGCCGGTTGGCGATGTCGCTGACAAGGTCTGATAACGCCCTCCTTAGGAAGCCTAAGCGTATCCGGCCTCAGCATAAAAAACCAGAGCACTCGAGATCGGTCTTTCTTGCGTAGTTAAGTCTCTCATGTTCGCCGGTCCATTGATGACCATGGGAAAACGGCTCAGAGTAGAGCTAGTTCATCACGACAAGCATTCACGCGTGGAAAGTGAGGAGATCTTATATGCTGAACTACTTGAATATCTACAACCGCTGTCTAACTGAAGAAACCGAGTGGAAGTCGGTCTCGCTGCCTCAGAACTCAGGTACGAATGTGTTACCTGGGCAACCGCTTCCCGTCAACAGTCCAGGCCTCGCGTTTCCATACATTATTTCGTTCCATGAACCACCTTAAATCTTGACCATATATCTTTAGCCCTATTCCTTATGACCAGCAATTTGCTATCGGAGTTTTGAACTATTGAGTGTCTCTTATCGCGTCTGTTAGATTTTCTTGTTATCGTCTTTCCCACCAAGTTCGACGCCTCAACCCGCCTCGATCAAGTACGATCCATGAGAAGTGTCAAGCGCACTAGGAGTGATAAGCTTCTTTAGATCAGATATTGGTTACATTCTTTAAGGCTATCTGATGGGATAGTTTCAGAACAACAACCATCATGTCTGGTCTATTGCAGGAAGT